TGCTAATTTTAGACTTCCTGACTTTTTTTTTTTCTGAATGCAAATCTCTGTCCTGGCTTCTGTTATCTCTGAGACTGACTTTCCTACTTTTTGTGGGGGGGTTTTTATTTACCTCTGGACCCATCATCATTATGCTTCTACTTTCTGCTTGCTATGTATTAAACATTCAGTATTTGGCCCTGTTTCTTTTTCAGCCTCCTGTAGATACCACCCAGATCATTCATATCATCCTGTTTTCTGTTACCACATCCGAGACAAAATTTTTACCTTAAATACTGCATCACTTTGATAACTAATTGTTTTCTATCACAATCAAAAGGTATACAGTCATCAAAAACACATCCATGTATCTAGCTACTTACATCCTATTGCTGTTGAATCTGTGTTCTCAAGTATTTAAAAGCAGAAGTAGCAATAGCAGTTTCTCCTTTTTACTTCTCAGGCTGTAAGAGAGGTAACTTGAGACAGCCGAGTCTAAAAGTGAGTTTTGCATTTAGTTTGGCAAGTAGGTAGCACTGTGATCATTGCTATGTCTTACAGAAGGGAATTCCAAACCTGGGTCCTGCTGCTGTCTTTCCAGTTCTGTAAAGGTTTGACTTCCTCCATTCAAAAGGCTTCTACAATTATGGTGAATTTTCATGTTACATTTACACCATTCGAAATCTGTGGACTGTTAAAGTTAGAACATGGTGTGAGCAGCCACACATTAAAGGTTAATACTGTTTCTTGCCTGCACAAGTCTGACATCAGGACTGGCAAGCAGGTGCATGGCTAGAAGCCAAGGCACCTGGGCTATATACCTGCTCTGGGTAACATGTGGGGGCTGGAAGTGGTGCTGGAGGACAGTAAATTGCTTATTTTAGCTCTGCTGAGCAGACTGGAGTTACTCTAACACAAACTAGATAGCATGGCCTATAGTTAACCTATGCCTGAAGGGGCATAACCTTGAGAGGCTCAGAGGGCACTTTGTTAAAGAGCTTTCAGGTGACAATGCTCATGTTTTAAGTGCCCTTAGTAGGGCCAAAGTGTAATGCATAACTTCCTTAGTCAATAATTTGCCTCATTTCTGTAATGTAGCTGTGATTGAGGTCACAGTAGTAGAAGGAGAGAGAATCCTTTGGGCACCAGGAGTATCCTCTGTAGGGTTTTCAGCACTAGGACAGATTTGATAAGGGGAAGGTAAAGTCTCTGGTGATGTGTTAAAATGACCACTGTTGCTAAGCAGACAGGATTCTGTATTTTTGTACTAGGAAAATATTTTTAAGGCCATAGAAACCTGGGACTGAAAGGCGCTTCCTGGGTTATCAAGTCTAGGTCCCTACTGTCATAGGTATTGCACCATATTATCCTTTTCATGAACTTATCAAGCTCCTGGCTTAACTCACAGATAAGAATTAAAATAATCAAGCGGGTGTTCATCAATCCATGGATGTTCTTACCTTGAAACACTGCTTCTTTGAACAATAGAAGTTAGTTAGAGAATACATGTGCATCTATAATTTTCGTATTGAATAGTCAAGTTCCACTTCACTGTTATGACAAATGTGTCTCATACTTGACACAAACTCCTAGGTCACACCAGTCTAAATCATAAATTGTTCATATGTAATGCATTCTGAAAGGAAAAAAATAAAAGAGCAGAGACTAAGTTACGGTTTCAGAAATGTTGTCTTCCCTCCTCTGTCACCGAAAGCAAATTGAGCAAAACAGTCCAGAATAATAAAAGAGTAACTGCTGTGAGGGGGTATTATTGTTTTGGCAAATGTGCTAATGAAGTGAGCAGTTTGAATTACTGATATAAACCATCAGTAAAAAAACAAACAAATGCCTTGGTCCTCCATTGCTTTCACATCCATTGTAAAACTCCCATTAAGTTCAGTGGGAGCGGGATCAAGACATAACAGTTAAACATTAAAAAATAAAACTGGATGACATCTTGTATTTGAAATTGTTTAACAAAACTGGTCTTTAAAATAAAACATATTTTTATATATTTATTTTTAAGAAGTCTAGTTAGTTTCTTTTTAACCCAAACTCACTTATTTGTAATCTCTTTAGAATTTTTTTCTTTGCAAAATTAGTTTTCTATTTTTAATCAACTTTAAAAGAGACAGAAGTAGAAGGGATGCATTTGGCTGTTGTCAACTGTCTGCTTATTCAGTGCAGCATTTTCTGGGGACATAAATCAGTTTATTCTAAAAGGGGTTTTGATACAGTTTCTGGCTATGTAATTGTGATGATTAAGTGGTTGTGTTGTTGCTTTTGATGTTCCCTATTTAAAGTGTTTTTTTGGAGGGCTTTTTGTTTTGGTGGGGAAAGGTTCATGGCTAGTTTGTAGAAGGGTTGGGGGTGGCCTGGCTCCCTCCACTGGATGGTGCTGGAAGGGCTCCTTTCTGAGAGCGCTTTCCTGAAGCTGGGATGGTGGGGAATAGGTATAACAAAGGATGTCAGAAAGTGCATGTGCATGGATGAGTGCTGGCCAGACTGCTGCCTGCTGGAGTCACAGGCGCTTGATGGTGGGAACCCCAGAGAGGGAAGATAAAGGGACTCTGCCACTTGGGGACTGCATCTGAAAAGGCTGGAGTCGTGGGGAAGAGTCAGCTTGCTGAGGGCCAGCAGAGAAATCAAAACTTCAGGGGATGAGAGGGAGTTTTGCTGACTTTCTGCCTGCCACTGGAACCAGCTGGGACTGAGAAGAATGCACTGGCCAGGCACCAGAGTAAAGTGTTAAGAGTTAGTGTGTGTTACACCTTTATTTTATGTTCTGTCTTCTCCAGGTATGTAGCATTGTCCCCCCACCCCCAAATTATTACCTTTGGTCTTTGTTTAAATTCTTAACCTTGGCTGTCCCTTTAATTAGGTATCTCACCGCCAGGGGAGTGTGCCCCCTCACAGCCTTGGCCAACTTGGGGCTCCTGTCACAATAGTGTGTTCATTAGGGGTGGCCATATTTTGCTACTTGCTGGATCTCTTAATTTGATAAAGGAAGCCTAATTTTAAATGGTAAATAAGGATTTGTTTTCCCGAACTGCCTGTTAGTATTATTATGTTTCTTCATTCAGATTTTGGCTTTGAATATTTCTTTTCTCAGAGATTCTTCCTAAGATAGTTTGGAGAACTAAAGGGGAATATGGCAGAGGCATGGTGCAAAACTGTGCTCTTCTTCTCTCCTCCCCCAAATAATTGGAATTTATATTTGAAGACTAGATTAAACAATTATAGAAATTACAGAGAAGCTAGCCAGGATCTGAATATTCCACATACGTGAATTTAGAGGCTTTGAGTGAATTAGAGCTGCTAATGATGCACAGGCAAGGAAGGTTAATGATGAGCAAAAATTAACTACCTAGTGGTTCTATTGTTTGTTTATTATTCTCAGACAAGACATTTATGAATGATGTATTTTATATTGAGTAGTTTTATGCTGTGGATTTAGATGATTTTGAAATAAGTTTCCACCAAAGATGGACTATATTAAAATGCTGAAAGATTAAAAATAATTAGCTTATGTATACAGAGCAATATGTTTTCTTGACACATGGCAAATAAAAAGAAGGTCCCTGTTTATTTTGGACATAGGGCAACAGGGATGACAATAGGGAGCAGGTAGCTTTTATACATAGAGAAAAAAGGTTTAGAACAGAGAAATCTTAGGGAGTTGGACTGGCCAATGTGGTTAGGTATTTTACATATGAGTAGAGGTATAAAACGCCCATTGAATTTAGTAGAAAATTGTACTCCTGATACACGATCATAGGAAAGTAGTGCCGCAAGGGACCTCACAAAATGTGAAGGTTTGGCTGGAATGTAGGCAGCTGGGCCTGCAGGTAGGCCCTGAAGGGCAGCCAGGAGATCAGGTGGGTGGGGGTATAGGTTACTGGGGCATCAGGTTAGGGTCTGGATCAGTGGAGCAATGAACATGGATCCAGATCCCATGAGAGCTGAGGGGGAGATCCAACGGACATAGTCCAGGGTGCAAGATGAGATCAGAAGCCAGGAGAATCAAAGACTTGTAGCCTAGCCTTTCCCAGATTGTATATGTACACACAATTATTCTACTGCAAAGGCAGAACTTTACACTTGTATTTGTTGAATCTCATCTTATTGATTAAAGACCATTTCTCCAGTTTGTCCAGGTCATTCTGGATCCTAGTCCTACCTTCTGGAGGATCTGCATCTTCATCCAATTTGGTGACATCTGCCAATTTGCTAAGCATTCACTTAATCCCATCATCCAAATCATTAATGAATCTATTAAACAATTCTGTGCCCAGGACAGACCCTTGGGAAACCTCACTTCATGATCTTTCCAGGTATCAAGATTACTTTGGCAGTATGCTGACTGGTCCTTTTTCTTCCATTTCTTGTAGATGGGCACTATATTTGCCAAAGTGATGGTTTTATCTTATGATAGTTAAAGACATACAGAATGGATATAGTCTTTGCCTACAGCCATACCAGACTGAATGCACCTAGTATAGATATCCAACACCATGGATGCTTTATAAAATGTATTAAACACCTGAGGAAGATAAAATAAAATCAGCTAAACTATTCAGGTCATTTTGGAAACTCGGTGAAAGAAGAGAGTATTGAAAATAAGTTCCAACACAGAACAAATGAACACTAACATCACACTTAAGATATCATCCTAAAATTGTTAAATCATAGAAAATTAGGGTTGGAAGGAACTTCAGGGGGTCCAAACCCCTGTGCAAAGCAGACCACCCCTAACTATATGCATCCTAACCAAGGTTTTGTCTAGCTGGGTCTTAAAAACCTCCAAGGATGGAAATTCCACAACTTCTCTGGGTAGCCTGTGCCAGTGCTTTACTACCCTCCTCATGAAAGTTTTTCCTAGTATTTAACCTAAACTTCCCTGGTGACAACTTGAGGCCATTGCTCTTCATTCTGTCATCTGCCATCACTAAGAACAGTTTCACTCCATTCTCTTGGTAAGCACCTATCAGGTAGTTGAAGGCTACTATTAAATCCTCTCCCAGTCTCCTCTTCTCCAGACTAAATAAGTCCAGTTCCCTCAGCCTGTTCTCATAAATTATGTGACCCAGCCCCCAACAATTTTTGCTGCTATCTAGTGGACTTTCTCAAATTTGTCCATATCCTTTTTATAGGGGGGTGGAGGTGTCAAAACTGGACACAGTACTCCAGGTGTGGCCTCACCAGTGCCAGATACAGGGGAATAATCACTTCCCTCAATCTGCTGGAAACTAATGGAGCCTAGTTTGCCATTAGCCTTCTTCACAACAAGGGTACATTTTTCGTTCATATTCAGCTTATTGTCCACTGTAAGTCTCAGGTTGTTTTCTGCAGAGCTGCTGCTTAGTCAGTCAGTCCCCAGCCTGTACCGGCTCATGGGATTTTTCTGTCCTAAGTGCAGGACGTTGCACTTATTGAACCTTGTGAGATTTCTTTTGGTCCAGTCCTCCAATTTGTTGTGGTCTCTCTGAATCCTAGCCCTAACCTCCACTGTATCTACTACTCCCTCCAGCTTGGTGTCATTTGAAGATTGGCTGGTGGTGTACTCCGTCACATCTTACAAAGTTCTTGATGATGATATTGAACAAAACCAGCCTCAAGACCAACCCCTGGGCCATTTCACTTGGTATTGGCTGCCAGCTAGACTTTGAGCCATAGATTATTACCTTCTGAGCCTGACAATCCAGCCAGTTTTCTATCCACCTTACAGTCTGTTCATCCAACCTGTAATTCCTTATCTTGCTTGTGAGGATGTTGTGGGAGACTATATCGAAGGCTTTGCTAAAGTCAAGGTATATCACATCCACCACTCTCCCTGCCTCTACAGAACCAGCCATTTCATCATAGAAGGCAATCAGGTGAGTCAGGCATGACTTGACTTTAGTGAATTCATGCTGACTCTACCTCCAAGTGCTTAGAAATGGATTCCTTGAGGACATGCTCCAGGATTTTTCCACAGACTGAGGTGTGGGTGGCCAGTGTCTAGTTCCCTGGGTCCTCTTTCTTCCCATTCTTAAAGATGGGCACTATATTTGCTCTTTTCCAATCATCTGAGACCTCTCCCAATCACCAGGAGTTTTCAAAGATGATGGCCGGCAGCTCTGCAATTATATTGACCAAGTCTCTCAGCACCTACAGGTGCATTGCATCCCATGGACTTTTACACACCCAGCTTTTCTAAATAGTCCCTAATCTATTTTTTTATTATTGTTTGCTGCTCACCTCCTCCCTAAACTATGCTGGCTGGTGCAGTAGTCTGGGGGCTGACCTTGCCTGTGAAGACCAAGGTAAAAAAGGCATTAAGCACTTCACCCTTTTTCACATCACTAGGTTGCTTCCCGCATTCAGTAAGGAACCTACACTTTCCCTTAACTTCCTCTTATTGTTGACATGCTTGTAGAAGCCCTTATTGTTACCCTTCATATCCTTTGCTAGCTGCAACTCCAGTTGCACGTTGGCCTCATCCCTGCATACCTGAGCAATACTCCTATACTCCTCCCTTGTTGTTTGTCCAAGTTTCCATGCCTTGTAAGCTTCCTTTTTGTGTTTTTGCTCACTGAAGTGGTCCTAAATCAGGTTGGTCTTTCTGTTATACTTGCTAATCTTCCTGTGTATTGGGATGGGTCATTCCTGCACCCTCAGTAAGGTTTCTTTAAAATACAGTCAACCGTCCTGGACTCCTTTCCCATCAGTCTAGCTTCCCAGGGGATCCTGCCCATGAGTTTCCCAAGTGAGTTGAAGTCTGCTTTTCTGAAGCACAGGCTCCTTATTCTGCTGATTTCTTTTCTTCCTTTTGTCAGGATCCTGAACTCAATCATCTCATGGTCACTGCTGCCCAACTTGCCATCCACTTCTGCATTTCACGTCAATTCTTCCCTGTTTGTGAGCAGCAGGTCAAGAAGAGCACAGCCCCTGTTGGCCTCTCCAACACTTGCACCAGGAAATTGTCCCCAACACTCTCTAAAAACTGAAGCCTGCTTAACATCTTATCCTTATCACCATCATGCTTCTTGCACTTTCAGATGTGTATGTCAAATTATATATATTTATACGTATAGTTGTCTAACATCAGCCAATTTGTACTATAGTGTGTGCAGCCTGTTTCTGGAAATTATTAAGTCCCAAGCTTATCTATGTCTCCTTCAGTGTTATATGTCTCTTGTAGGTAGTTATAATAATTCTGTAATCTTACTTATTTGATTAGTCCATTTTACCTTACATACTTCTTTCACGGAAGGTAAAGAGTTAATGGGAGCCTTGGGGATCCTGTGGCAACAAAACTCTCTTGGGAGGATCAATCAAGAGAAGGGTCCAATCTTCAACAGAAGGGTAAAAGGGCCTATGGGCTCTCTATGGGAGGCAACACTGGTGTGAGTCAGAGGTGTCATAGGTGGCTGCAAAGTGGTCCAGCACCCCGTCCATCAACTTTTTGTCCTGGTGCTGGGACTCTTCAGCTCCACCAAGACATGGGTTGCCTCCAAAAATGGTGAGTTGAGCCCCCATTCCTGCACCTTGGCAGCCCAGGGGTAGGCATCCCCCATCCTGAAGATATCAACCCTTGCCATGTGCAGTCTCTTCTCATGCTGCTCCCATAGCTCCTGGTACCAGGAATCAGCTGTACATGCCTGGCTCTTAGAGGGAACAACCAAGGCCTGCAGCATCTCCTCCTTGGTTCTTTGATGCTTCCAATGGATATCCCTCGTGCACTCTGCAACTGTGTGGCTCTCTGTCCTTGAGCTGGCATTGTATCCTCTGTTCACTGTCCTCCCTCACATACATGGTGTTTCTGCAGTTTGACAGGGGAGATACAGAACCTTAGAGTGAAGTTGCAACTTTTGCTGAAAAAATGAAGTAGAAGGGCAGGCAGTTTGAACCCTCCCAGCACTCACCTAGGCACTCGTGGATATGGCAAGGTAGCTAGGGCTAGTCCTCCGTCTTGGCCATTTTTCTCCTCCCAAGGCTGGGAGCTGCCCTGCTGCTCTCCATCCAGCACAACAGAGACTGGGATCTCAGTTGTGCTGTGAGTGGGCAGCAGGTGCTGGGACATGTTGCTCACTAGGGAAGGGCTGTGTCCCTTTACAGAAAATGCAGTGGCCACTTGCTCTGTTCCTTCAAAGGGTCCCTCTAGGGCTTGGACCATCTCTGGAACATGCAGAAACTAACTACTCTAGGGAATTCTGATGGAGCTCTTAAACTACCCCCTCCTCCCCTGTTCTTCCTTTCTGGAGAAACATTTCAGCACTGTGTCCATGCAGGAGTGCTGCTTTGCTCCTGACCTTTCTCTGATGAAAGTCAGCTGAGCCTAGAGGAATGAGCTTTACCACTATTCCTAGGGAATGCCAGCCAGTATGCCCTGTTCCTGCTGCAGAACATGGTCCTGTGGGAGGTGATTGACAGGGCTGTGTGACGCTTCAGGTGCTGATTTGATTTGGAGGAGATTGGTGACTGAATCTCTGAATCCAAATCAAATCAGGAGATCAATAAAAAGGTCCAAATTGATCTGAAGCTCCCTGAATTGATTTGGAAAAGATTCGGAGAGCTTCGGAGATTCAGGCAGTCCCCACTTGCCACCACAGGGAGCTGGACCCAGACTCCATGCCAGTAAGTAGGGGGTGGGAGGAGGGGCTGGAGGAGGGGGAGACACCATGGGGGATCCCTCCAGGCCCCATCCTCTGCCTGCTCCCCCAACTCCCCTGAGGACCCCCTGACCCCTGCCCGCTCTCCCAGCCCTGTCAATGGCTGCCCCACTTGGCCCCAGTGTCCTGGCTCTTTCAAAAAAAAAAAAAAAAGCCCTGCACTCACCAACTCCTGCCAGGTTGTGGGAGATTCCTGCTGTACCCCGCTGCTCTGTGCTGTGTGTGTGTGGGGGGGCTCTACCATGAGCCCTCATCCTCCACCTGTTCTCCCAGACCCATCAATGGCTGCTCTGGCTGGCCCCAGCATCCCAGCTCTTTAAAAAAACAAAACAAAACTCCACACTCAACGGGTGCTGCAGCAGCTGTCAGGGCTTCTTGGGGCTCATGGAATGCCCCCCCCCACACACATACAGCACGGGGCAGTGGCAGGGCAGTGAGGATTGCCCCCCCACACACCTGGCAGCAGCAAGGGGGAATTTTTCTCTTTCCTGTTGTACTGCAACTCCAGTGATTCTCATAGATGACTGTGGGTTATCTCCTGTTCTTGACCTCAGTGTCCTCTCTGCCACACACCACCATGGCACTGCTAACTGGGGCAGGGCACAGAGTGCTGGCACTTGTACCTGTTTCTTACACTTTGCCTTCAGATTTCAATAAACTCTTGCAGTGCCTTTGCATGAATGCAAGGTGGAATGAGGGGCTGTTTCGGCGCCAGTGGGCTGGGCAGCTGGAAGGATGCTCAGCTTCTCCCAGTTGCTGCGCGTGGCCCAAAGACATACAGCAGGAAGTGTGAATGAGGCAGATTAATGTTGCCACAGAATGGAATATGGGCTGTTAATTACCCAAAGTAAGGCAGGGGGAGCTTGGTGCCTCAGCTACACTCCAGGAAGATAGGGAGGGGAGGGGGGTGACTGGTCTGCCCAGTGCTGAAAGACAGAAACCTCTTGAGCAATTAGCAGCCTGGTACCCTAAACTTTGAATAGTCAAGGTGGGGATGATTCATCGGTGCATTGCCCCTTCTCAGGTTCTTGGCCAGGTTCTCAGCTACAGCCTGGGAGAGGGCTGTGACTGTAGGTATGGCCTGCAGCAGCCACTGGTCCCCAAGGGGCCAGAGGCAGGTGGGTAGAAAGGTGTGCAGGTTGGTCCGGTGACCACCTTCTGGAGACAGGCTTGCATACCAGCTTTGGGCTGGCATAGATTCTTCACACTGCTCCCTTCCTGTCCCACTGGCTGTTGGCATGGTTCACCCCAGGGTCCATATTTTCCCTAGTGCCTGGTTCCCCATCATGGCTGCATGGAGAGGAGTGGACCTGTACCTTCCCCAGGCAGCAGGGTGTCCTTGCTTGAATCTTCACCAGAACTGTGGGGAGGTCTGGCTGTGGGTGCTGTGGGTGGTGCTGTGGCAGCAGCCACTGCATTGGTAGTTGGGTTTGGGAGGGCACTCTGTACGTCTGTAAGGGGGCTGTGAGGAGGTGTCAGAGGAGTAGGATTGCCTACCTATGACATGCCATACATCATACCTATGACTGCTGTATTGGAAATGGTGTCCTGAGGTCTACACGTTTGGCTACAGTCCACAGAATTGACAGATTCTGGCCATAGATCAGGGTTGGGAGGGGGAGAGGTTCTTAGGAGGTGGAGGGTATGGTGTCAGGGTCCTCACCATGGACAGGCCATTGGATTGTCCCTGGATTGCGATGACCATAGCATTGGAGCTTTTTCGCTGGTTTTGTGTGCAAAGGTCCATGTTCTTGACCATGCCAGAAAAGATATCAAGGGAACTCAGGTCCAGGTGCAGATGCACCTCCACTGCTAGATCATACAGTGATAGGGAACCTAACATCAATGGGCTGGATTCCTTGGGGACTGCTGCCAGCAGCAGACCTAGTTTCTGGGCATCTGGTTGTCTTGTTGTCCTAGGGCCTTCCTGCACCTCTTCCTGTGGTGGGTTCCTTCCTGACAACTCCTCCTGCCCACCCCCAGTGTACATGTGTATGGGATGGCAATGGCCTGTCCATGGTGAGGAAGTGGGGCAGCTTCTCGTAGAAGGGTCAGCTCTGCTTCCTGCTCCAGGACTTTTTATTGATGTCATGCATAAGCTTGTATTGGATGTTCATCCATTTCATCTGCACCTCAGCCCTGTAGTGGCCCCACACTTTCATCTGTTGGGCAATGTGCTTGAACACATCCCTGTTGTAGTGGCCTTTGTGGAGCTGGTCCTGAGTCTCCTGCTCACCCCAGATGGCAATGAGATCCCTTATTTCCCTGTAGCCCTAGTTGTGAGACCAGGGTTTGGTACTGGAGGAGGATGTGACAGGTTCTTCGATGGTTCATGATGGCCATGGGATCTTAGCATCCATGGGTGGATGAGGGTCTGGCTGCAAGGGGATGGATGGATGGAATGGTGGGTGTGTGGAAGTGTTGGTCCCAGTGTGTGGCTTTTCCCTTTCACTGCAGCTGGGTCCAGCCCATGCTCCAGAGTGACCACTGGCCAGGCTACCAACATGACCTGGAATTTTGCAGGGGCTTCCAGCAGATGCCTCTATGATGCTAGCACTGCGCCACACCCCAGCCTGGAAATTTCCAGTGCCCTCTACTTACAACACTGAGGAAGCTGCTCCTGAAGTTTTCAGGGGTGTCTGCCTGCTTGCCCCAGCTCAGATGCCCAGTGCCCCCCACCCTACTACAGCCCTAGTAATCCAGGTCCCTGGATTTGTGGGCCAGAAAACCCTTGCAGCACCCCTAGTGCACATGGCTTAGATATTTGCTGGCAGTGGCCAAGCCTCAGAGGTCACAAGGTTGTTTCTGTGCAGGCCCAATCCCAATGCTTTTACACCCACCCTGATGACTCTGCAGAGGTTAGCTGTCTGCACCAGCTCCTGCTTGGTAGCAGGAGCATGTCTATGCTAGTGTCCAGGTTGCAGGGTGCCTCGCTGTGGCTTCTGAGCTGTGATGTGTGGGTGCCGGGGTTGGGGTCCGTGGTTCAGTGCCCAAGCATGGGGCCATAGGGATCCATGGCTGGCTGTGCAGGTGCTAGGGTCAGGGTCTGGGGGACTGTGCCCAAGCACTGGGGTTTTTCTTGGCTCAGTGTTGGGTTCTGTGTGTATGTTGTGGGGTGCTTTGTGATGGGGTGATGAGGATATGGGGGAATGGCCCAGGGACTAATGTGGCAGACACAGATGCCTCACTTTCAACCCCCTGGCAGGTGACTGGAGGCTGGGCTGAGGAGAGGGGCTGTGCTTTCTCAGTGCTAAGACTGCGGTGGGCTGGGTCCTGCTGGGCATTTGTCCAGAGCAGCCAAGTACAGACTGAATGTTAGCAGGCTGCCCTGTGAGGGAGGGGTAATGGAAGGCTGCAAAGCAAGCTAGGATGCCAGAGGGCAGGGATCTAACTTAAATCACTGGGGAACGGTACATAAATTTGATCTAACCATAATCGATCCCAACTGAGTGTACCTTGAACAAGGTCTAAGGTTGCTTGCACCACTTTTAGACAGGTCTACGTGCACTGAGCATAGTTATGTACAGTTATGGGCTTAGATTAATCCTTGTTCATTTAGACTCATCTAAGTGTAACATCTGTACATGTCCATTAAGAGCTTTTGAGGCCTGGAGAGTAAAGTTGAATCTTGGAAAGGACTTTGATGATGGGAAGCTTGTGAATAATAGATGGAAGGTCTTTATTCAAAAGGTTATAGGAAAGTTAGTGCTTTATGCAGAAAACCAAGTGCTCAGGAAGAAAATAATTAACATTTATGTGGACAGAGAGCTCATTGCTAGACATCACATTTATCCTGGGATAACCATTTTATACCAGGACAAAGTGCAGTTGTACACATATCCATGTCAATTGTTCTGAGATCAATCCAAAAAAGAAATACTGGGTAGTAATAAATTATCCTGGGATACTGCAAAGTACATCTATACAGTTATCCTCGGAATCAATGGCATCACTAAATCCCTGGCAAAAAAGCAGCACTGCATTCAGACACTCACTAAACTCTGATCAAAAAGGTGATGTGTACATGTCAATCCTGGGATATTTTTATTCTGGGATAAGCACAGGTACAGCTGATCCAGGGACAAATACAACACCTGATTCTGGCCATAGTGACTCATGCTACCAGTGAAAAGTCAAAAGGAGATCTGAAAAGTTCACCCTCAAAGACAAGGATTGTTATGCTGAGCTGATAAAAAGGGTACCAATACTTTCATGTCAGACAGTCTAGTTAATGTAATAGCTGAGTTGTGCTGTCAACCAACAATTGTCTGAGTTCCAGCAGAATCACGAAGCAGGTATAGGAGATGCTCAACATGTTCTCTTTTCTGATAAATACTCAATTATTACTGTTCTTAAGATAAATGAAGATGTGCATTGTCTTAAACAGTTTATTCTAGAAATGCAGATGGGTGCAATAAGGTATTGAAATCTGGTTTAGACCCTAAAATCCAATCTTGGCAGTGTCTTTCTGTCCATTAGCACTGTCTACTGTGAACATTATGGAGGCAAGGTAATAGAAATGTTTTTATTGATTGGGGCTGTAGTTGAAGAAAGGCATAATTGCCACCCTAAATTTAATCTTATAGATACTTGTTGGATGCCAACGTTCTGCCTTAAGTACTAACGTCTTCCTGGAACTGTTGAAGTGAACTCAGAAAGCTTAACTTGAGATTAGACCACACAATTATAGACGTCAGTTTAAAAAAAATTAAAACTTTTTTCCTCTTTGGATGGTCATTTATCTGTATATAACCAACTGGAAATTTGTGATGAATCTACATAGTCTTCTTTTGAATGTGCTATAGAAAACTGTTTATGTCAAAGTATGGTTGAATAAAAAAGCAGAGAACGATAAAAAAATGTAAAGCAATAATGAATAAAAGATTATTTATTTGAAACACAGAGTATGAATATATTTCAAAGCTTTTGTTATATATACAGATAAGTTTGGAAAGACACTTATATCTCTTACTTACTAAAAATTAGGCTGGGGGAAGGGGGAAGCCTTTTATAGATTACAATACAAGCAGCATATTCAAGCAGGGAATCCCTACTTTGTAATGCTGGAAAACACACTTTTGAAGATTTATAGTCAAATTCCTTATTTAATCCTCCAGTATGCATAGGTCAAAGATGGATCAAATTGCTTCCATTTGCTGTTTCAGGAAAAATAAAGGGATCAATCTGTGATCACATAATTAATTCTACTAAAGTTACTTTTTGGGGGGAACACAGTCATATCACTTCTGCACACTTCTGCCAAGGCATCGATATCCTGATCTAGGATGAAGAGTGAACATAGGGTATTCACAGTACCACTTGTGACACATCCGGTACCTGAGCCTAATTAGCCATATTAAAGCATTCTTCCCAAATGAATGTATGAACCCGCTATGCTCTGGTCCATCCTTTTTTCCTCCTAAAAGTTTCTTTCATTGTTCCCATTAGGATGAGCAATGCTAGCAGTGCTAAGGTAGCCATTTAATGAGTTAGTAGCAAAGGATGCATCATGAGGTGGTTTTGCTCCCTAAACATGATTTTGAGCAACTGATGGGCATGTCCAGATGAGCACGCATCTGTAGTTTGCAGCACTGCAAACTGCATGCGCCACACACACAGGTGTTTGCCACACTGATGATTTGCAGCATGGCAAGGTTTTTTGACACCAGGAGATTCCAGTGTCAAAAAAACCCATGCCTGAAAAAAGCAGGGCAATGCATGTGGCAGCAGCATGAGGCACCTGAAACCAGAGCTATGCTCCAGTTGCTAGACAGGCTCCACGTGCCAGATCACTGCCGCTGGAGCCCTGGGAGGCCCCCAGGACCTCAGCTAAGGCTTCTGGGGCCTGCCCCAGTACTGGCCGCAGCCTCCCCTATCCCACCTCGGGCCCCCTGCTACACGTCAGACCACGCACGCATGGGCATTCCCCGGGGACAAGTAGCAGCTGTGTAACGATGTGCCTCTGCTATTTGTCCCTGAAAATGCACATACACGCTCATCTGGATGCACCCAGTGGGATTTTCAAAACTTCGTAGGCTTCTGGAAGCTTTGCTAGGCACCTTCATCTTTCATCTGATTACCATTAAACATTTGTCATCAATGATTAAAATAGCAGTATCACTTGAGGCCTTATTTATTTTTACGTGCTCTGTACTGAAAGAGTTTCTCCTATGGCATTAGCAAAATTTAGGGGCTCAGAGTGAAAACTGGTGCAGCTAAATGTCAACATTGCAACAGATATCATTACTGGTATGGAAAGACAAACCAATTATACTGCTTTAAAAGGAAGGGAGAGAATTTACCACGGTTCAGCTGTTTTGTTCGTCTGCTCTGTCATGTAGTAAGTCGAACTGAAACAACAGTAATTGACTACATGTTTCATTCATGGATAATTCATTGAGATGTAGTTTCACTTATTGCAGTATGGGAGCAGACGGACAAAGTAATTACAATGGATCAGCTGACACATACTCATAGGTGGCAAGTCCTGCCCTACTTCTGAGGGGGCAGCTGGAGGCACCTTTCATTTTGAATAGAAGGAAAAAATCCAAGATCTGAAACAAATTGTGATACTTTTTCATGACTATGACCAAGCTATTGTATTTATCCACTGTTTTGCTTAGGAGATCTCCAGTCACCCATGTTTAACTAGGTGATACCACAATCTGGAGCTGTTTCAAGAAACCAGCTAAACAGTACTGGGACATTCCCTCCTGTTCTCACATTTATAGCATTTTCTCAGTAAAAGTAGCCTGTCAATTATTCTTCTCAGAAAAGTGGACAAAGAAATCTGATTTAAAAAAAGAAATCAGGCAACCAATTTATGCCTTTCAAACTCCAGTAACAAATTGCACAAAACTAAAGAGTCTTTTTATAATAATCTAAGTCATTGTGAAATCTAGCTCTTCTAGAAAGCAAGTACTTCAGGAAGTGACATGACAGCTGCAAAATAGGTATCTGAGCATTGCTGCACCCCATGATTTAAAAAAGTAGTTAAATCTCTTGGTGTGTGCCCTGGAATCAATTATTTCTCAACATGAGCATTTGAGGTTGGAGGAAGAGCATTAGCATTTTCTTCATGCTGCATCTTCAGACAGCCCCAAAAGAATGACGTGCACACTGCCAGATTACCAGCATCCAAACGATTGTCTTCATTGTCCTCCTGTTATGTTATCTTCATCTTATTGGAAGCTGCAAAAGAGAAATGAGTAGTCTTCTGTTTAAGGGACCATGTAAGAAACAGCCTTGTGCATGTAGGGTCACGAAACAGGTTTAATGAGAAGATGTCCAAATGATTTGTTGTAGTTACCTTATTTCCTTCAGAATTTTTTATGTAATTATGGTAAAACCACTATCCACATTTGTCACAATTTTGACCCAAGCAACAAAAGTGTTTATTATACTTAGTCATACACACATAATGAAGAACAGGGTCTTGAATTAAGCAATGAAATGATGAATGGAATTGTTTCCACAGCATGAACATAAAGAGATATAATCTAGCTAAGGCCGATTTCTGCTTCATCACTCCAACAGGAAAATAGCTATGTTGCTGAAGTCTTTCAGCTTAGCCTCTATTATTTGCAGTGGCGCTCGACAGTTATGGAGTTGGAATTCAATTTCTTTCATCTAAAGCAGGTGTGTCTAAAAACCACTCTGCCATTTCTATATAACGCATGAAGATTGTTGGCTCCCTGCCTATAAGCTTTTCAGTGCACTTATCCCATTTTCATACTGCTGAGTTTGTCCGTGAATATCATCTCAGTTTAAGTACATGAGTGAATCTTCATGACCTCAAAATAAGATAATAGATAACAGATAATGTGGAAAGCTTTATTTTATGCTAAAACATACATTCAGGAACCCCTTTTGAAGGACAGTTTTATAGAAATCCACATTACGCAGCATGTAAAGATTTTGCCATAAATTTATTATTCAGTACTAGGGAAGGTGCTCCTTAATTTTGCTGTATCTGTATTTGATATGACATATTAACCTTGATATTAGCATCATTTATCCAAATGTGACCTCTATGTTTGACTAAAATACTGTAACTTAGGTTCTGATGGTGATGCGTATGTTTGCTTGGGTTTATTTAAGGGATAGTTTGTGCTATGTTTATTTTTAAAGGACTTACAAAATGTCTGCTGGCTTAGTTGGAGTGGGATTGTGACTTTACATGAAAAAATAGTGTAAGCATATAGCAATGCTACTTGAAATGAACTTACAGAATTACTAAATGAGGTCAGATATTAAAAAAAATAAAGAGAAATTTAAGTCTAAAATGCTACAAGGGCCCTTTCTACAATCCTTAGGCAAAACTGTCCCTGAAGGCAGTTGGAATATTAATTTAGTAATACTGAATAGGGAGGGAAATACTAAGTATTATTATTACAGTCTTGTTTGCAATCACAACAAGTGTTTGTTCTGCAAGAACTTGGCAGCTAATGTCAAAACAATTCTACCATCAGGGAAATGTGTTTCCTTTTGCCAGGCTGATATGATCATCGATAGGTGACAAACAGATGTATTATAGTTTGTATATCATTAATGTTCTACAGTCCCTTGTAGGCCTTAGGCAAAATGTATAAGAGAGAATTTGTTTCTGTCTTCATAGAAGAAGCTTGTCGATGCTCCAAAGAAAGACCAGAATTAACCCTTTGCAAGTTTTCTTTCTTAGTATAGCTGGAGGAGATTTAGAAACAGTGTTCAAGCATGTCCACTCTTACAGATTGTCCCAATTTTATTTATCAAGTAATTTTGATGAATATTTTAATTTTTAACTCCACACTTTTTCTGGCTTGTACGCTCAACAATGGTGACTTATTGAAAGTGGGTTTTAATTAAGTCATATACATGTACATGAAAGGCAAGATATAGTGTACTTCATATCTGGTAAGTGCATGCTTTGCTTACCTGTATAATACAGTGCCAATCCCAGTACGTTACCTGTTGCTTACATTGTAACAAACATTGCCTGCATATCAGTTAAATGCACAAACTGTTTAAGTGCTATGAATAAACTCTCAGCTTCACTTTCTACCTTGAACTAAAAGTGTATTTCATGAACTACGTAATTTGTGAAACTGGCTAGAAGCAGCTCTGATCTGAATAGATTCTGTCAGTATCAAGGCTGCTCTTAAAAGCATAAGGTTCTCCGGAAAGCAAGGTAACAAGCCTTAATGAGGTGTGAAACACATAGATAGCATAGTGGCTTCCTGTAGTTAATGAGCACCTTATGTTCAGGTTACATTGTATATTCTATACACTTTGCATTGTTTGCCTTGAATTCTGGTATGTGCATATTCCAGGTAAGCTTTTTTTAGTCTGGAGGCTGTACATTTAAACTGTACTATTGACATTAAGGTCATTGGCTGTAACGAAGTATTCTATAAGTACCAGAAACTGTTTACAGAATATGTTCTATTGCATTTTCAGGGCAGCACCAAAATCAATAGCATATTTAATCTTTTGAATCTGTTCACTGGATTAATTTTTAGAGAATGAATAGCCTGTTGCTATTCATATAAATAGGTGAATTCAAATGTCAAGCTGTATCTGTCTCAAGACTTGCCTTTTATATTACTATTATTTTCAGAAGTGGGTTAGACTACTTAGCAGCTAAATCCCTTTGAATAAATGTTCAAATGTTTCAGCAGACTGACAAATGCAACATGTTAATATAGAAACTGGCACTTGGGAACTGCAATGTGGACCTAAACACAGTTGATCCAAACACAGTTTGGTTAACTTTAATTGTCTTACCAAAGCCTGTTATTGCAACTTTTTAAAAAAGAGCATAGTAAAAACGCATGTGAGCTAGAGAGTTTGGAAGTAGGAAACTTCTATTTTTTCATAAAGCTGTCCCTGTAACAAAATACAAATAGGCTAGTGATTATCTTGGTGTCCATGTTACTCATAGTTTTAGCAAGTCTTCATTAACTTTGTTGTCATCCGCAAGGACTGTAGGATACATTGATTGTTTTGTTTTGGCATCATAGTTTTAAAAGCTAGCAGAAGCTTTGTTTTCATGCTTCATGTCCAAACCTGTTAAACTATTCAAATTCAAGTATATTTCCAATTCAAATATACACAGGTTTATAAGAGAGTGATTACTGTTCTAGCAAGTTCATTATCCCTCTGAGGAATACGTGCCTCTGATGGACTGCCTTTAATGGACAATCAGACTAGCGATTGGTTTTGAGTGAGGCAAGTCAATTTTCTAAGCAGGATACCTTGTGATAACTTTACATTTCCTACTTTGCTTTCTTTTGTTGGAGGCAAGAAAGGAGATTGAATTAGATGCAGAGGTGTGTCTCTGGAACCTCTTCAAGTAGCTGATGCTGTTTAAAGAGGCTGTCTAGCTGCAACATAATCAAGACGTGACAGACTTTATATGCCAATATTATTCTATCATTTACAGTATTTGAAACTGCATAGCAGAAACATAGCAAAGCTTGGATTATAATTTACATAGCAAAGCATAGGAGTTACAACTAGGAAGGGGCACAAAACCCAGGAAGGAAAGGATCTGTGAATATATTAGAAGCTATGGAAGAAAAAAAGGCATAGCATCATTACCTAACAGAGGAGAGCAAATAACAGATGACATAGTAAGGCTGAAATGTTTAATGCTGTTTCTGCTTCAGTCTTTACAGAAAAGGTTAATTGTGACCAGATGTTTAACACGATAAAAATTAACAACAAGGGGATAGTCACACCGACTAGAGCAGGGAAAGAAGGCAATATTTAGATATGTTAGATGCAGGGCCTGTCTACAGGGGGAGTTTGTGAGCAATAAGCTATAGGATGAATTTACAGTCCACTAGCTACTCCACACTAACTCTCCCTATGGATATTCTTAGTGTATATTAAGACTCTCTTTATGTGAAGTAGCTTATTTAAGTCATCAGGATCTGATTAAATTAACCCTAAAATACTTGAAAAACCAAACTGAAGCAGTTTCTGAAACATCAGTAATTATCTTAAAGAACTTGAGAAGTATGTGAAGGAACATTCAGAACAACTTAGTAACTTTCTTTAAAGATAGGAAAAATAAGGGTCAGAAAATAATAAGACCAGAGAACCATAGGAAAGGAGGGCTAGAAGGGACCTTACTAGGGCATCTAGTCCAGCCCCTACTTAAGGCAGAATCGTCCCTGACTAGTTAACTTAAAATCCAGTCAGGCTAAAATAAATGATTAAATAATCTATTTATAAATCCTTGAAGGATAATAAGGTGATAGGAAACATCCAACATAGAATTATTTTTATAAACAGATAATTTGATATATCTTGACTTTAACACGGAATTATTCAACATGAGATTCTTATAAGCAAAATGGAAAAAAAATGCTCTCTGGATAGAATATCATAGTGTCCTTTCAATATGTAAAAGGTTGTTTTCTATTAGGGTAGGAGAAGAAATAATAAGTTTATAGCAAAGGACATTTAGGTTAAGTATTCAGAATAAAAGTCTAGTTAAAGAGTGGAATAACTTAGCTAGTGAAGCTTTGGAATCCCCATCTTTGGAGGTCTTTAGGAATAGGTTAAAATGACATCTCTTAGGATTATTTAGCTATAAATGATTCTGCTGCAGAGCCAGGGATGAACTAGGCGACCTCTTGAAGACCCTTCTACATGTACATGTTCTCTAAGAACACATATTCTTATGTGCACTATTTATATAAGCCTAAAGCTAATAAGTCAGCTTATATTTATTGACTATTTGTATAAAGCTGGGTTTCAAAAAAGAAGGCTTTCTTTACTCCTTTGGTTTCTTGAGAACTCAGCATGATCTGGGCAGTTTACACAAGACTCCAACGAATCATCCATTAACAGCTCTAACTTTGTGCAAGCTAACTATTTAACCCCTTTTATTCACAACTCACCAATTTTTGTATCAGGACTGTTGTAGTAGTAGTGGGAATCAGTCCGTCTTGCAAAACAGTAGAGTTGTGCCGAACGAGGTATCTGAAAGTGTGGTTGGAGAACCTGATTCTTGAGTGACAGTCTCTTCCACATTTGAAGTTCTTATCAAACAACCCTGAATGTGGTGCAGGGTTCTTCCTGAGGTTTCTTCTTTTCTCTACCTGTTGGACGCTATGGAGTGAAGGCTTCTTCAAAAGCCTCCATTCCATGCTTGATAGAACGTTTCCAAGCACTTTGATCCTCAGCAGTCTTCTTCCAGTCATTTGGCCTGATGTTCGTTGCCTTCATTTCCCTCTTGCAAGCATCTTTGAACTGGAGATAAAGATGGTCACATGGTCTTGTTCTTGTAAAGAGTTTTCCATACAAAAGATCCTTAGGTAAATAGCTATCATCCATTGTCCACATATGATCAAGACATCAAAGTCAATGCCAGCTGAGAAGAGAATGGATGTTCGGCTTGTTGGCGCATTCCAGGATATCAATGTGGAAAACTTTGTCCTTCCAGGAAATTCCTAGACTGAGGCAAAGGCAAGTGGAAGTTGTTGAGATGTTTTTTGTGAGTAGAGTATACAGTCCAGTATGCCAAAAGGATGCTGATGATACAAGCATGATATACTTTGACCTTCATCTTAACAGTAAGTTTGTTGTTGTTTCATGCTTATTTGCTCAGCATGTTTATGATACCTGATGCTTTGCTAATATGGTCATTCAGTTCAGCCACAAGTGATAGAAAGGTTGTTGGTAACAATGGAGGTAATGTATGCATCTTTACTTACAGTATCCAGTATGTTTTCAGCTATTGTGATCGCTGGAGGTAAATCACTGTTTGACCCATAATGTCTACTTGATGCTGGTTGTAAGACCAAACTCTTGACAGGCATGAGTGACTGATGAAGCTTTGAAGGACGCTCTCTGTGTAGGAGTGGATTATGCTGAGGAGTTTTAGTAGACAGCCAATCTTTCCGATAATCGGCAGAGGCCAGGACAAAGGAGATTATTCATTTGTCTGTCTTCTGGCCTTCACTCCTAGACTGACTGCTGAATAGGGTTAAAAATCCCAGTCTATCCTATCATGGAGTGGACGTCAGTTCCACAGCCTTTTAGCAGCATTTCCTCTGTCAGGGTAAGACTAGTACCCTCTCTGTCTGAAGCCATTGACACCCTAAAGGTTGCCATGTTATTTAACTGCTGGCCAGCACTTGGCCAGGTAGTATTGTGTACTGTAAATTACCGTAGCAGGAGAACCTGCCCTGACCTTTTATAAGCACTGAATTCATAAGCAAAAAGTTAATATTATTGCAGGATAGACCAGAAGGCTGTCTCAGAAACCTGAAAAGGTATGGCGAGGAGGAAGACTGCAAATTATAGAATTACTGGGGAATCCCATGTGACTACAGGCACTGCTCATGACTTTGTGCTTGTGGATATAAAATAATATTTACAGATTGTTTTGGAAATGTTTATTGTAACTTCTGTCTTACCCAGTGTTTATCTGCTGTGTATAATTCATTTGGGGAAAAACTGGGAGCTCAGTATTTGATTTGATGTGTCATGAAATGCAACAAAGGTACATTTCATTTGTGAACTGACACGTATCATACTGCACACTCACAAGTACAACAACATCCTGAAGACAAGCTGATAAACTTGGTTTGATGTCTCAGAAAGTTAACTCTGGCTCTGCTAAGATAATTCACTTTGTCTGCAGGTGTTTGCATTCAATCATTTTATGTCTAGCTTGACTTTAATATAAAAAGTTAGACTTTAACATTATATGAAACAAGGCATTTGAGAAAACACAAACCATATTTTCCCAGGTTGCAGTTGACTTGTTTAATAGATCTAAGGTTTCCAGAAAATTACGAGCCTGACTCCTGTGATCTAGACCTACTGCATTTCAGTGTCATCGTAGAAATTGTACTTTTATATGAAAATGTGGCTGTCAGCAAAATGTACAGTTAAATTGAATTCTGAGTATAGAGATGTAACAAAGTACTTTCCTCTTTTCAAAGTCTAGAGACCCTGACCTAGCACCTAAGTTCAATTTTTAGGCATATCTGGTAAAGAGTCAGTGGTTCCTTTAAAGAGGTCAGTTGCAAAGGACTTATAGCATGGTTGCCTCTGAAAAAGGAAGAAGAAATTCAAGAAGAAAGCTTCTGGAGCCCTGCAGACTGCTTTGGTGAGAGGCCATGTTTTGGGGTTGTTTTGTAAGTCGTATGTCTGAAGAGTAAAATAAAAAGTAGGGCTTGCATGGATTGTGGGTGTGGTGTTTGTTTTTCCTGAGCTGAGGGAGGCAGGCCAGCAGCCTGCAGGAAATAAGAGATGCAGATAGGCATTTGGCCCTTAGAACTAAGGGGAAATTAAGCCAGCTACAGAAAAAGAGAGGCAGAAGGGATAGCTGTTACAAAGAGATAGGATAGACTCCATTCTGTGCCTTGCAGTGTCAACATAGCAGAAATAATAGGAACAGCATTATCATATCCAGCCAACCTCCTGTAAATCCTGGAGAGCCAACAAAAGCGGGAGCAGGCGAGGTTTGCCACTCCAAAATGGTAGTGGGCACCCCAACATGAAAGATTCATGAAACAATTAGACCAAAAGTGTTTAAGGAGTGGGGTGGCTCAAGGGCACCTTGGACTTTTGGTGAAACGGGCATGCCTTTCTGAATCTGCAGCAACTAAAACATCAGAACATCTGGAAGGAGAGGAGCGTCCTACTCTTGGTGGTCAGTAGACTGGGAAGGGAATGGTGCATCTTTGTGCACAGACCCTGCCGATTTGAGGAAAACACAAGAGTATATCAACATGACAAAATAGGTACTCTGGACTATATAACATGCCTCGGGTTTGAGCAAAGTTTGTGGAAGGGGAAGGTATGTAACACATTGTCTGCCCCTTTAATGGGTGTGGGGGTAGGCCTGGTTTACATAATTCGGGAGGGAATGGCATGGCTCCTATAAAAGCTCATGAGTGCTCAGGTGGAAGGGAGCTGAGGGAAGGAATATAGCTGATCTTGGAGTAGGAGGGTGACACACGTAGAAAAAAAGCCTCTGGACTCTGCTTTAGTTTGGTGTTACTCTCAGCTGTGTATCTGAAAAATAAACATTGTGCCCTAAAGGAACTATGCCTGAGCAGACTTCAGTCCTTTAGTCCTGGTAGGGCATTAGTCCTTCTGGGACATGAGGGGTGAGGGCAGGCCAGAAATCTACCAGACATTTAGCTTTCTTTATAATATTTTCATAACTATAGACCTCTTCTTTGAATATTACAAGATCTGGTTAATGCATTTTCCATAAAACAATGTTGACTTCTACCATTTTACTAGGAGAATTCAGTATTTTGAACGTACATCTTACCTTCTTTCCACACGTTACCCCAGTATAGCCACTTCTACAGGCACAAACATTTGGTCTTATGCATCTGCTTCCAAACAGGCACTTCTGCTCACAAAGTGCTGCAAAGAAAAGATCACATTATTTAAAAATACACTTGTTGTAAGAAACATAATTAGGCTGGGAATACTTGGTTGATTTTTCAAATAATATGACAAAGCGAATTATGATTCAAGCTCTGTATTTTCATATGCACGGGGGAGGGGGCTATGAATGTATTCTGGCATTAAGAATTATTTATCATAGGATTTTTCCATTCTTATTTCCATTTGTGTTTATCATTTTTCTCATCTCTCTTTGTCCTGATCTCAGTAATGATGAGGCTAGAGAAGATGGTGCCAAAACAGTCAGTTAACCACAGTGGGAAACGGATCAGCATAAGGCCTATTTTTCAAAGCCAGGATAAACTGTAGGCAGTAATGGTTGGGGTCAGATTTGTGCCAAAACTGATTTTTTTTTCTTGTTCCAATAGAAATAAAATGGCAGTTGCTAAAAAAAATAAATAAATACAAAATATCTTTTCTTGAGTTGAGATGAAAAAATGTGTTAAGTATTTAGTCCCAAAGGCTATGCTACTGCAATATTTTAAAAGGGGAGGAGGAAACAGGGCTATGCAGTTTCATGAATTGCATATTGTGAACTCTGTAAACCTGGATATAAGGACATATAATTTCCAGCTTTTAAAGAATCAGTGACTGGCAATCTATTCCAAGTTAAAACATAACAGTAGTTTTCCAATTGGATGGGTTACAATATAGGTGTTCTTCACTTTTCTGATCTATTTTAATCATAGTAGCACCTGCTTAAATATATTCAACTAATAGAACAATCAATCAATGTTTTCTTAAAGTAAAAGTGAATTACCTAACTTCTAGCCAGTTTTTCATTCTAATTAGCAGTGTATGCTCTTATGACATTGTTTTGGCATGGAAAAAAGAGAACAGCCAATTTATAAGGCACTAATCCAAGAAGAACACACGTGTCGTATTATTTTAATTAAACTTCCTGAGTTAAACTTTCTAAAAGATATTCCAAAATACTCTGTTCTAGTTGCTAGGAGTGGAACTGTAATGAAACCAGTTAGACATAATTCTGTAGGTGAATGCTTATACACACAGTGTCATGTTTCCTTCTGGCGGAGGCCTATAGAAAGTCACTCTGCACACCCTGTGAAAAGGGAAGTGAAAATTAAAGACACACCAATCTATCTAGATTCTCATACCATCTTCATTACCATTGTGTCCAAGCAAAATACTCCATTTTGCAGTTAAACCATGTATTTATAACTGCCAGATAGAATGGTGTGTAAAACTCAATATATCTACTTAAGAAAGTTCAAGTAAATCAGCACTCCAAGAATTTTAACCCACTATTCTGGAGAGTCAGGCCAAGACTTTAAAAGTATATTGGTTAAGGTTATCAGGTGTAGCTGTGTTGGCCTAAGAGCACAGGCAGACATGGTTCTTTCGATAACCCGATATCTTTTATTAGACCAACTAAAATAGTTGGAAAAATTCTTCTTTGCAAGCTTTCACATACAAACACCCTTCTTCAGGGAGAGGAAGCCTCTGCAGCTGTTTTCTCCAGACACAGCCCCTGACTACTGAGACTTCCACCCAAGTTGTGGTCTGGCTCTACAGGCACCGCAGTCCGCATGTCCCTGCCAGGGACAGCCACATGTGGGAGGGCTTGCGGTGTGAGAGGTGCCTCCTGGTAGATCCTCTCAGGAATCAGAGAAGGGAGCTTCAGGAGAAGGTAGATAAGCTCAAGAGCATATGTGAGCATGAGACCTTCATTGATTCAAGGCACAAAAGGGTGCCTGCACGTGTGTGGAAGGGCTGCTCCAATGTGCTGTAATTACAGTGCCTCTGGTTGTAGCATGCTAATTAGCCTGCTCCAGCAGCTTCTGTGTCTCATGTATCAGTGTTCCCGCACTTCAAAATGGCATTGAATGAGCTTTAGTTAAAGTGCCCCTGCTGCCATTTTGAAGTGCAGGGATGCTGATACAGAGCTGCTGCAGGTGCTTTAATTAGAGAGGCTCATGGAGGCAGTCTAATTTAAAGTGCCTCCCTTCCCCTGGAGCCTGTGTAAAAATGCCCAAAGAGACCTCCAGCATCATGGAAGAGTGGCAGCCAGACAGGGCACTGGAAGCCACAGAAGACACAGATAGTGTGGAAATCAGACGCTGCCAGCTTGTCACCTCTGGCAACAGACAGCACTCCTCTTCTGAACCTGCAGCTCTTTAGCTAGTGAACAAGTACAAAGCTCTGGCATTAAGTGAGAAGGAGCCCACTCCAGTGGCAGGAAAAGTACAAGACATGCTCCTGTAATGGTGGGGTGGGAAAGGGGGGAACTGAGCCTACTGCTTCCCAGGAGAGGCAATGTGTGGTGGTGGTTGGTGACTCCCTCCTGCAGGGCACAGAGGGATCTACCTGCCTGCCTAACCCCTTGGCTTGGAAGTTGTGCTGCCTGCCAGGAACCTGCTTCTGAGATGTCACAGAAAAGTTGCCAAGATTCATCCAGCACATCCTATATTATGTTTCCATGTGGGCACTAATGATACTGCCAGGGGTGACCTAGAGCAGATCTAAAATGACTACATGGCTCTGGTCAGAATGGTGAAGGGGCCAGGGGCCCTGGTGGTTTTCTCATCAAGCCTGCCAGTCAAGGATAAAGCCCCAGCTAGAAACAGACACATCTGGGAGATCAACACATTGTTGTGTAGATGGTGTTGCCGGCAGAGCTTTGGCTTCTTTGACCATGCGTAGCGCTCTAAGAGGATGGACTTCTAGGAAGGGCTGGGGTCCACCTGATGAAGAGAAGGAAGAGTGCCTTCGCATACTGGCTTGCTAACCTGGTAAGGGGAGCATTAAACTAGGTTCACTGGGGGATAGAGACAAAAGTCCAGAGGTAAGTAAACAGTCAAGGGATCTGGTTAAAATGTAATAAGGGGAATCAGAAGCCTAAGCAATTTTCTCAGGGAGAAGACAGAACAATCAATTAGATACCTGAAGTATTTGTTAAAGCAAGAAGCCTGGTAAACAGACAGGAAGAATTGGAGGTCCTAGTACAATCACAGAATTATGATCCAATTGGAATCACAGTGGGATAGTTCACATGACTGGAGCAAAATCATGGATCATGTTCAGGAAAGACAGGCGAAGGAAAAAGTGGGGAGGGGAGGAGGTGCTGCCCTGTATATATACAGGATGTTTATATGTTCTGAGCCACAGTACAAAGTGGAAGGTATGCCTACTGAAAGCCTCTGGGTAAAAGGTCAAAGGGGAAAGCAGCAATGGGGATGTCATGGTGGGCATCTGTTACCTGTCACCAAAACAGAAAAAGAAGGTGGATAACACCTTCCTTAAACAACTAAAAGAAATTTCCAAATTTCAGGACTTGGTCTCAAAGGTGACTTTAACTATCAGAGCATCTGCTGAGGGAGAAACACAGCAGTCCCAGGCAGCCAGAAAATTCTTGAAGTATGTTGGGGAAACTTTTAGATACAGATGGTAGATAGGCCAACTAGGGAGGAAGCCGTTCTTGATTTCCTGCTCACGAACAGGGAGGAATTGGTTGAGAATGTGAAGGTGGAAGATAACTTGGGTGACAATGACCATGAAATGCTACTGTGTACAGAAAGGAACAAGGTGATCAGGAACAGCCAACATATATTCATCAACAGCCAGTAGTGGATGTGATATAATTTGACTTTAGGAAGGCTTTTGGCATTATTTCCCACAACATCTTCATTAACAAGTTAAGGCAATACAGACTAGATTAAAGAACTCTAACATGTATCATCATGCTCAATGAATAGTCATCAGCAATGGTACTGTATCTAGTTGGGAAGAGGTGGGGTTCCCCAGGTGTCTGTCCTAGATCCAGGATTGTTCAACAGCTTCATGAATGATTTTGATGATAGGATTGAGTGCACACTTGGCAAACTTAAGGATGACACCAAGTTAGGTGGAATTGCAGATACTCTGGAGGGTAGGACTAGGATCCAGAATGACCTGAATAGACTGGATAAATAGTCCACAATCAATCAAATGATTTAGCAAGGTCGAGTGCAAGGTCCTGCTCTTCAAATAAGATAATTGCATGCATAAATACAAACTGGAGGATGACTAGTCAGGCTTCAGTACTGTAAAGAAAGACCTGGTGCTTATGCTGAATATGAACCAACATTGTACTCTTACTGCAAAAAGGTCAACAGCACTCTGGGTAGTATTAACAGGAATTTCACTTGCAAATCAATGGATGTGATTCTTCTGCTCTTTTCAGAAGTGGTGAGGCCTCACCTGGAACACTTGCCCCACACTTGCCTGAGAAGAAAGATTTATGAGGGATGACTTGAAGAACTAGGGTTATTTTAGTTTGGATAAGAGAAGATTAAGGGTGGGATTTGATAATAGTCTTCAAATACTTTAAAAGTGATTATAGAGAGAATGGCAATAGGATTTTCTTTGTGGCCTCAGGGGACAGGATTAGGAACAATTGCCTCAAGATGGGTTAAAACTTAGGAGGAACTTTCTGACTATGAGGATGGTTAAGCATTGGAGTTAGATACCTAGAGAAATTTTGGAATCTCTATCCTTGGAAGTTTTCAGGAGTAGGTTGAACAGCCACTTGCATAGATGGTTTAGTCATGGGTGATCCTGTCTTAAGCAGGGAGCTGTACTAGATGACCTAGTAAAGTCCATTCCAGTCCTACTTTCATATTTATCTATAATTCTATCATAAGTTGACATGTTATTACAAGAGTTGGTTAGGAAATTGTTGATGATACATCTTTTGTCAGAAAATGCCCTCCAGCTTCTGGGCCTGGGTCTGAATTGGATAGAAAAAGAATGAAAAATCTAGTTCAGGATTGTGCACCTTCAGAGGGCTGCTCCCGTGGGGGTTGCATACCATGTGGGCTGCACTAGCTTAAGCTACAGACCCCCAGGGGCACACACTGCGCAGGCTCCCTGGCTTCACTCTTAGCTCCCTGGTGCAGTGTGACCTCCCACTGCACCATGTTGCATGGGTAACCTGGGGCCACAGACTTCTGTGGCAG